AATAAGAAATACATACTTTTTTTGCCATTGGAATCATAACAACATTTACGCATAACGTAACCCTTTTTGAATTCCGTAGCGCCCGTAATATTTGGCACATCGAGAAACGGATTCCCAGTACCGGCAATCGCAGTCGTACCATCACCCTGCTGGATAGCTTGATTCGTCACTTCATCTCCTTCTTCGTCCCTAAAATAATGGAGAACATGAATTGACCTACTGAACATTTAGTTATTATTCATTTTCTTAAAAAAAAATATGCGCCATAATTTTTATTCTGAAAAAAAAAAAAAATTGATACCAATCATGTCGTGAAGAGTTTGATTATTAGTCTAGAAAAAAATAAATTTGTAACATAAGTCTTACAGAGCCCATTCGAGGGGGAAGGACTTGATAGCATTGTAAAGTTGCTTAAGGACCTCGCGTGGAAAATTATCGCCGTCATTGAGTTCCGATAGATTCTCAATAAATTCTGAGCACGACATTTTTCTGCCGATATTCTGACCATGTAAGTCTGTGTTAAGTAACATTATTGCGCAAGTCAATGTGTGGACCGCATCTAAACATATAAACATATTAAATACATATGGAAGAAAAAAAATATTATTCAATTTAATATAATTTTAACAAGACACACACATACGAATACGTACATGCGCGCATGTATGCACGCACGTACGTACACATTTACGCAGCTAAATATATATTTCAAAGTGTACTTACCTTGAGAATTGAAACTACCGGGATTACAATCCAAATATCTTTTGGAAAAATGTACTAAGACTCTCTCTCTTTCTTGAGTCTCTCCCGTTAAACAGAATTGAGCGAGAAATTTTCTAAGAGCCACATCTAATGTATCTTGTTCGAAGCTGAAATAACGCAGATATTCTTCCGCTACAGCTTTACTAAAGTCGTTGCTGCAAATACAAGATATTGCATGTTCATTCAAACTGACATTTTAAAAACTTTTTATATTTTATATACAGCGATTAATGATGGGCGTTAAAACTCTTTTCAAATAATTCAATTATAATAAAAATTTGATTATTTAGTTACATTTTTGTGAAATCGAAGTTGTAAAAAGATTTAATCAAAAGAACAGAAAACGTCTTTACTTTTTGCTTAGATGTCTAGAGACGTCGGACTTCTTGAAGCCGTCTAAGGAATAAAGACGTTTGGCCAGTCGAACTGCGGAAGGCAAATCCACCGCTTTCGGACTGTAGTGGAAACTGTGCAAACTCTCGATATCGCTCTCTTCGTCCGCTGACTGTGGTGGTGATGTGCCACTTCCTTTTTGCTCGTCGCATATTCCAATGGTCAGAGCTTCTCTCTCATCTTCGCTCTCCTTCAATTCCTAAATTCGATAATGCAAAAACTATTAAATAATAATATAACTGTATAATAGTAATATAAATTAGAAATCGACAGAATTTATTGTATGTATTTTAATTTGAAACTAATAATTAAAAAAATATTAAGCGTAATCTAATAAAAAACATATTAATTTTGCTTCAATGTTTCTCGATCTATCTATACAATCTCGATCTTTTTACACAATAAATCTAAAAATATCTATTTTCTAATTATCACTTAAATTTCTAATTATCAAATTTAATAAAATGTTCGAAATGTTCCCAAATATACATATTTAAAGGAACTTTTTATACAAATAAATTTGATGCAAATAAATTGGTTAAATTTATGTTAAATTGCATTACATGAAATAAAACTTGCATTTGCTTTAATAATATTTTAATTCCGTTAAGTCTAAATAATTTAATTAAGTCTAAATACAATTCGATAAAAAAATCCCAAAATATTACCTGATAACCTACGCATTCAGGTGTTACTGAACCTGGAATGATTCCAGGAACCCCTGGAATTCCAGGTTGATTTCTCTGCAAATTTTGAGATGTAGCAGGTGGCACTAATTCTCCTACGGGATTTCCTCTTCTCCTTGTCTGTCTCGGACTCGTGTTTCTTGGACTCTCCTTATCAGGCCCCTTTACTTGAATCACGATTCTATGTTCTCCAGTCTCTTGAGGATTAGTCTTCAGTCTTCTCTGGGGCGGTTCACTCGCCAAAATGGTAGAATCGCTGTCGCTAGGATCGCTTACCATCATAATATCCCTTGCACTGAGAATATCCATCGTTTCTTCGTCGTTGTAATCTGGACTGGATATATTGCTGATAGCCTCCGATTGACTGAAATCGCCGTTAGCAGGGAGATGACCTCCCGGGGCGTTGGAAACCCCAGGAACAGTTTGGACCGGAGGAAACCTGCGGGAACCAGAGTTGGAGGACATGACGGAGGATGAGACGGAGGTGGGGGAAGCGGGGGACAGAGAACGCTGAGGGCTCGTTGAAGAGGATGATGAGGACGAAGACGAAGATGAAGAACCGCCATTTTGGCAGCAGGAAGCGGCCGGTGAGCTAACAGGCGCGTTGTAAGTCCAGACGATTCGCTCGTTTGGCATTAGGCCTTCTGGCCGTGGATCCAATAGTGTGTTCAGGCTCGAGGTGACATCATCATCGATATCAATATCCACGGCACTCATCGAAGGATCTTTCTGGAATTGCAGATGGTCCTCGGATCGCGAAGTACGTACGAAACCGAAGCTTGAAGGGGTATTCTTGCTCGGATCGACCTGGACTAGGGCTCCCGAGGTACCTTGTACTCCGTCACGTCTGGCAGCGCCTACAGGTGATGTACTAGCCGAACTGGAAGCTTTGTAGACGCCTCCTCTATGGTGATGATGCTGATGGGCCATCTGGGTCTCATTGGGACTACTGGGCATCGAGTTGTGATGATGATGATGGTGATGATGATTATGATTGTGATGGGCACTAGTGGTGGTGATGGTGGTAGTGGTGTGCTGATGATTAGGATTGTACCTAAGGGAGTCCACCTTTCGCTGTTGATGCTGCTTAGGTAGCAGATTACTGCTCTGTTGCGTGCGGGAGAGATTTAGCATCAGGTCGCCAGTCATCATATATGCTTCAAATCTAATAAACAGATAAATCTTATTACTAATATAAGATATTCATAAGAACATCTTTATGGCATCATAGATGATTCATCGTTATAGATTCATCATCACAGATATGAACTAGAGAAAGGAAAAAAGAAAAAAGGACAATGTTATGTAATTAATAAAAGGGAAAAAAAAAAAAAAAAAAAAAAAAAAAAAAAAAAGAAAATAACTAAAAATAAACTTACGTTTTTTAACTTAACTTAGTTAAATTTAATTTTACTTTTTATTTAATTTACTTACTTAGTTACTTAACTTTTAC